TGAAAACTTTGATTTTCAACAACAACAAAAAGAACTTAAACATGTGAAGAAACAAGAAAATGTAACTCATTCCAGGAAAAAAGCAGGCAATAGAAACTGCATTTGACAGGATCCAGCTATCAAACCTATCAGATAAAGACTTCAAATAGTTATCATATTATGTTCAAGAAACTCAAAGAAAACATTCTTAAAGAATTAAAACAGGTATGATCACCATGTCCCATCAAATAGACAATATCAATAAAGAAATACAAATTATTTAAAATGGAAATTCTAAAGCTGAAAACTATAATAACTGAAGAGAAAAACTCAGTACAGTGGCTCAATAGAATATTTTAGCTAGCATAAAAAAATATTCAATGAACTTGATGATAAATTATTACAGGTTATACATTCAGAAGAACATAGGGAAAAAGAAAGAAAAATGAGCAGAACCTCAAAGAAATAGAAGACACCATTAAGTACACCAACATACTCATAATGAAAGTACCAGAAGAAAACAACAACAACAAAAGACATAGATATATTTCTAGAAATAATAGCTGAAAACTTCCCAAATTAATGAAAATCATTATCCTATACACCCATAAAGCTAAACAACCTCAAAGTAAATAAAAGCAAAGAGCTTCACACCCATGTACATCAGAGTCAAAATGCTGAACACCAAGAATAAAAAGAAAATCTTGAAATCAGTAAGAGAAAATGACTCATCAAATAGAAGGGAATCCCAATAACAGTTACAGCTGACTTCTCATCCGAAACAATGAAAGCCATAGGACAATGAAATGACAAATTGAAATTTTTGAAAGTAAAAAAAAAATGGCAACCAAAAATCTCATGCCAGTGAAACTACTTCAAAAATAAAAATTACATAAAGAAGTAAAGATAGAGGCCATGAGAATTTTCTGCTAGCAGATCTACTCTGAAAAAAAATAAATGGGAGTTCTTCAGGTTGAAAGCAAATGACACCAAACAGTAATTGGGATTCATATCCTCACAAAATAAAAATAATAAGAAGAAAATAATATAAATAGGTTTACGCAGACAAAATATATAATTTGGATAAAGTGAATAAATTTCTAGAAAGACACAAACTACTGAAACTGACTCAAGAAAAAATAGGAAATTTGAATAGGTCTACAATGAGAAAAGGTATTGAATTAGTAATTAATCTTTACACACACATGCACACACACACACACACACACAAACAAACAAACAAAAAAAACCCCAGGACCACATGGCTTCAGTAGTGAATTTTACCACAAACTTAAAGAATTAATGCCAATCTGTTACAAACTCTTCAAAAAATAAAAGAAATGGTAATAGTTTCTTACTGATTCTTAGAGATCATAATTATCCTGATATCAAACCAGACAGAAATCTCACAAAAAATAAAACTACATACCAATATCCCTTATGAATATAAGTATGAAACTATTCAACAAAATACTACCAAGATGAATTCAGTAACATAAAAAGGAGTATATACCATAACCAAGTAGGACTTATCCCAGAAATGCGAGGTGGGTTTAACATCTGAAAATAGATTAATGTAATACACTAGATTCAATGGGGGAAGAACAGTCTTTTGAATAGATAACTGAGACAACTGAATAATTATATGCAAAAAATTGAAGTTGGATTCCTAAAATATACAAAAGTCAGCTCAAAGAACTAATAAGTGCTAAAGCTGTAAAACTCTGAGAATAAAATATAAAAATAAATCTTTGCGACCTTGGTTTAGGTAATGGTTTCTTAGATATAAAACCAGAAGTACAAGCAACAAAAGAAAACTGAGATAAGTTGTATAAAATAAAAAACTACCATCGAGAAAATGAAGAGACAAACCATAGAATGGGAGAGAACATTAGTAAATCATAATCTAATAAAGGACATGTCTCCAAATACATGAAGAGCTTTTACAACCCTAAAAATTCAAATAACCCATGACAATAATTTCTCCAAAGATATACAAAAGGCCAATAAAAATATGGAAGGATGCTCAACATCATTAGTCATTAAGAAAACGTAAATCAAAAACATAATATCACTTCATAACCTACTAGGATAGCTATGACTGAAAATATAGATGATAGCCCTGGGTGGTGTAGCTCAGTGGATTGAGCTCAGACTCAAACCAAAGGGTCACTGGTTTGATTCCCAGTCAGGGCACATGCCTGGATTGCAGGCCAGGTCCCCAGTAGAGGGCACGTGAGAGGCAACCAGACATTGATGTTTCTCTCCCTCTCTTTCTCCTTCCCTTCCCTGTCTCTAAAAATAAATAATTAAATTTATATATATATATATATATATACACACACACACACACACACACACACACACACACACATGATAATTAGTGTTGGAAAGTATAAAATTTGATCATATTAGTAGAAATGTGAAATTGTGCAGCCACCTTTGAAAAGTCTGGCAGTTGTTCGAGAAGTTAAATGTAGAGTTACCATGTGCCCCAGCAATTCTACCCCTTGATATACGAGGTCTCTCTGGAACAAGTCCAGCCATTGTTAATATAATGAGAATGGTTTGTATGACATCGATGTAACCTGGCGGCTAAGGAGAGTGGACTTGAATGAACATGTATGAACAACGATGACTTCACTAGTCAATGAGGGTGGTAGATGCCATTGGGTGACCACGTGTACTGTGTAGCCATTGCATTCAAAGTGACTGAGTAGTGCAATGAATCTACATCAAATTTTGTGTTAAGCTATTTGGATGATTCAGAAGGCCACAGCTATGGGCAACTGGTGAGTGGCAGCTTTATCACGACAACACACCCACTCATACATCATGTCTCATGCACAGTTTTTTGTCAAAACACCAAATCACCCAGGTGACTCAGCCCCCCTACAGCCCAGATTTGGTGCCCTGTGACTCCTGGCCTTTTCCAAAACTAAAATCACCTTAGAAAGGGAGGAGATGTCAGACCATTGATAAGATTCAGGAAAATACAACAGGGGAGTTGATGGCAATTGGGTATGAGGTCCCAAGGTGCCTACTTTGAAGAAGACTGAGGCATCATTGTCCTATGTACAATGTTTCTTGTATCTTCCTCAATAAATGTCTCTATTTTTCATATTACATGGTTGGATACTTTCTGTACGGACCATGTATATCCAAGAGAAGTGAAGCCTATATTCATAAAAAAAACTTACACATAAATGTTTATAGCAGCATTATTCATAATAGCCAAAAGGTGAAAAAAAACAATTTTTTAAATAAAACAAATCTTTAACAACTGACGGAAGGGTAAAAGTGGTATAATCATAAAGTAGTATATTATTCAGCAATAAAAATGAATTGAGTACTGATTCATTTTATAACAAGGATGAAGGAAAGCCTTATGCTTCATGAAATATTCCATCTACAAAAGACCACATAGTTAGTGCATTATTCCATTCATATGACGTATTCAGAATAGGCCAATCCATAAAGACAGAGAGCCTAAGGCTTAGGAGGGTTTTGGGGAGGGATGGAGAATAACTGTAATCAGTTTCTTTTGGGGCTGATAAAAATGGTCTATAATTACATCATTGTGGTGGTTGCGAAACACTGTCAATATGCTAAAAACCACTGAACTATTTTAAATTGGTGAATGTTATGTTATATGAATATCTAAAAAAAAAGATGATTAAAAATAACCTGACCATCTAACTGAGAAAGAGGGGAAAACACACATTTTGGAGAAAGAGTGGGAGCTGAGGAAGGGGATCTGGCGACTGTGATGAGCAAATGCAGTATTTCACGACATGAGCTGGCATCTGAGAAACTGCCATCAGATTGTGATGACACAAATGTTTAATTGTATCCTTAACCTTTCCATATTTGCCACCAACAGTTTTCACTCTCACACATCCTCACAGTCTTCGCTATCTCACAGTTGCTGAGTGTTTTCTGTTTACTGCCCTTTCCATTATATGCTTCTGACATTCCAAATGCTTTATTTAGTGCAGAATATCTCAACCCATCCCTATTGACATTTTGAGCCAGAAACTCCTCACTGTGGGAGATTTTCCTGTGAATTGTAGAATGTTTAGCATCCATGGCCTCTACACACTAGATGCCAGTAGCACTCTCTCACACAGCAGTGACCATCAAAAAGGTCTACAGACAATGTGCAGTGTCCCCTGTGTGGTCAAAATTGCCCCCAGTTATATGTATTTGGGGCAGGGGCACTGGTCTAGTTTGTATTTATGTAATCTGAAAACGTTATGCTAAAAATAAATGAGCTCCCTGGACAGTGAGGGGGTGGGGGGAGCCTGACCACCTAATTCTCTATTGGGTTTTCTCCTGGCATTAGACAAGGTTAAATGTTTCTAAAAACTTTTTAGAGAAGGTCAACTTGTTTCTATACACTAGTTCCTCTGCCATGGATACAAGTCCATAAATACACTCAAGACTGACTGATAGCTCACCGTTGACTGGTACTAACTATACCTCTAATCCAGGCATTTATATTGTCCAACGAAGCTGAGCCCATGTGCTAATAAGGTAGAATCCTACCCTGGATAATTCATTCTATTATAGGAATCAATTCAGTGTGCAAAGTTCTGCTCCCTTTCTCACTAAGACTAAGAAATTCTGCACACTGAAGCCACTTGGAAGAAGTCATAGTTTTTCTAACCTATTGACATATATCTCAATTTTCTGCAGAATAATATTAATGTTATATTAGATAAAATGATCAAGTTATAAGGCTGATACATATCACAAATGACTATCTATTTTTCATTTAAAAAGGGACCCTACACAATCAAATTTCTTTAAAAAAGTAAGAGAAGGAAGAAATGGAGAGAAGGAACAGGGAAGAAACAAGAATGTAACAGCAGAGAACTCATAATCCTATGGAAATGGTTACATTTTCCTTCTTATCACCCAAGTTATAAGACCAATCCTGTGCACCATAATAAATTAGGTCAGATGATGTTAGTTTTATAGAGTACACAGCAAACTGACTTGAAAAAAACAAGCGATACCTTGCGGGGGAGTCCCGACGCTGCCTCCAAGGCCCAGCAGAGCCATCCTGTGCACCCTCGGCTCCAGCATCACGGCAGATTCTTCTCCCCTTTCCCAGTGGGGTATTTTGACTGGCTCCAGGTGGACATTCTCTAGCCCATCTTCCTTTAGGTTTTGGTACATGATTTGAATGGCTTTTTCTAGACTCTTGGAGCCACTTAATCTGGGTCCAACAGTATCAACCAGAAGTGCCAATCGCTCATAAGATCTGTTCTGGGCTTTCCCATAAACAGCAAGGTCTATGATTGCTTTAGCAACATCTCCATAGTGGGCTATTTCTTCTTTTATTTCTTCAAAAGTCCTCTGTGAGGTGTCATTCCTGTATATAGCTTTGCCAGAGTTCAAAAATAAAAGGTGAACACCAACAAATGTGAAGAGAAGAACCTTCATTTTTTCCAGGTTGTTTTCTTCCTAAAATAATCTATGTAAATAAGAAACATGTTTTTAAAAAAGATTCTCACAGTTATCCACCCATAGACTGCTTTTAAAACAGAACTGCCCACCCCACCTTCCACCATCAAATTCAGGTACCATAACTTCAAAGAATGAAGAAGTAAAGAAGAGCCCTGGCTGGTGTAGCTCAGTGGATTGAGTGCGGGCCATGAACCAAAGACTGCCTGGTTTGATTCCCAGTCAGGGCACATGCCTGGGTTGCAGGCCAGGTCCCCAGTGAGGGCCATGTAAGCAGCAACCACACACTGATATTCCTCTTGCCTCTCTCCCACCTTCCCCTCTGTCTAAAAATAAATAAAAAATTTCAAAAAGAGGTAAAGAAGAAATGACTGGCCTTATTAATAAGGCAGCATTTATTAAAATCACACAATCATATCACCTAGTAATTTTGTTTAAAATATGCTACAAATTAAAATAAAAAGAATACTAGGGACTTCCGCCAAGATGGAGATATAGGTGGAAACACCTTGCGTCCCTGCACAACCAAATCTAAAAACAAAGTTTTAACAAGAATAAACACAACCAAACCACACAGAAAATCGACAATATGGAGTCCAAAGACAACGAAATGCTCAGCTAAACCGGTAAGAGGAGCGAAGCCAGCAGCAGAGCAGGTTGGCAAAAAAGATCCCCGACCGGGTGCGCAAGCAGCCAAAGGCGCAGATCCCAATTGCGGGCTAGCTATGGATGGACACAGGGAAGAGGCGCAGCTGGCTGTCTGCAGTCGGTAGAGCATTTGCGTGCAGATAAACCAGTGAAGAGGCGAGCATTGAGACCGCACGGTGCAGGGCAGCGGGCTTGCACATTTCCGCTCGGATAAACAGTCCGGGGCGGTGGGACAGACTGGCGAGCAGAGAGGACCGCCATTGCTCCCTCTCTGACCCCACCCCCACATACAGTGTTACAAACCAGCGACCTAAGTTGCCCCGTCTTGGTAAACAACTAAGGCTCCGCTTTTCATACTTAATAGGCACAAACAGACCAAAAATGGCTCAAGAACAACTCAGAACCCCAGAGCCGATAAATCTAAGTGATGAAGAAATAGCCAAACTTTCAGATGCACAGTTTAAAACACTGGTGATCAGGATGCTCACAGAACTGGTTGATTATAGTCACAAATTAGAGAAACATATGAAAACTAAACTAATTGAAATGAATGGTAATGCACAGGAAACCAACAGTAATGGAAAGGAAATTGGGACTCAAATCAAAGGAGTAGACCAGAAGGAGGAAAAAAATGACCAACCATAAAAGAATGAAGAAACAAGAATTCAAAAAAATGAGGAGAGGCTTAGGAACCTCCAGGACATCTTTAAACGCTCCAACATCTGAATTATAGGGGTACCAGAAGGGGAAGAGGAAACGTCACAAGTAGAAACCCTATTTGAACAAATAATAAAAAAGAACTTTCCCATTCTGGCAAAGGAACTAGACTTCCAGGAAATCCAGGAAGCTCAGAGAGTCCCAAAGTAGTTGGACCCAAGAAGGAACACACCAAGGCACATCATCATTATATTAGCCAAGATTCAAATGAAGGAGAGAATACTAGAAGCACCAAGAGATAAGGGGACTGTCACCTACAAAGGAGTTCCCATCAGACTGTCAGCAGATTTCTCAAAAGAGACCTTCCAGGCAAGAAGGGGCTGGAAAGAAGTATTCCGAGTCATGAAAACCAAAGACCTACAACCAAGATTGCTCTATTCAGCAAAGTTTTCATTTAGAATGGAAGGACAGATAAAGTGCTTCTCAGATAAGATCAAATTCAAGGAGTTCATCATCGCCAAGAAAAAGAAGATAAAAAAAAAAGATGAACAGTGAAAGGACAGCAAACTCACAGTTATCAACAACCACACCTAAAACAAAAGCAAATTAAGAAGACAGCTAGATCAGGAGTGAACCATAGAAATGAAGATCACGTGGAGGATTAGCAACAGGGGAGTGGGAGAAGGAGAAGGGGGGAGAAGGTACAGAAAATAAGTAGCACAGACAGTAGATAGAAAATAGATAGGGGGAAGGGTAAGAATAGTAGGGGAAATACAGAATCTAAAGAACTTGAGACACGTGTTCATGAACTAAAGGCGGGGAATGGTGGGAGAGGGGTGTGCAGGGTGGAGGGGAAAAGAGGGGGGGAATAGAACAAATGTAATGGCATAATCAATAAAAATGTTTTTTAAAAAAAGAATACTAGGCCAGCACACACTTATGATAAAAACTCTAAGAAAAGTAGAAATACATATCTCCACATAATAAATGCCATAAATGAGAAAACCACAGCTAACAATAGACTTGATGGGGAAGAACTAAAAGCATTTCCCTTAAGATCAGGAACAGGACAAGGATGTCCATGTTCACGCCTCTTATTCAACATACTACTGGAAGTGCTGGCCGCAGCAATAAGACAAAAAGAAGAAATAAAAGGCATCTGAATTGGAAAGAAAAAAGTGATACTATATATAGAAAACCCTAAAGATTTCACCAAAAAACTATTAAAACCAATAATGAATTCAGTAAAGTATCAGGATATGAAATTCATATTTAGAAATTGGTTGTATTTTTACAGACCAATGATGAGCTACCAGAGAGGGAAACTAAGAAAACAATCCCATTTACGATTGCATCAAAAAATAAAATAAAATACCAGGATAAATTTTAACAAAGAGGTAAAAGACCTGTACAGAAATTGAATAAGATACTAATAAATGGAAGCATATACTATGCCACTGGATAGGAAGAATTAACATTGCTAAAGTGTCCATTTACCCAAAGCTGCTCTCCTTTTTGTTGTAACTATTTATATACACAGATTCTTGGTTTCTACAGTGACCACAATAATGCTTGTTTTTTAAAGCTAAATTTTATTAAGCAATCAAAATATTTCACCAGATTGCAATTTATTTTAAAAAGTACATTTTCCAATGTACTGTTAGTACAAAAATAAAAAAGGTTACTAATCCATCTATTAATTAAGACTAACCACATGTATCTACTTCTCATTAAAAATTCTCTAAGCAAACATTCATTAACGATTTCACAGTACATTTCTAGTGATGGATGGGAATTGTATAAATGACAGCATTGTGGAGATACGAGAGAGCTTATGGATCCTAGTCCATACCTATGCTTTTTAGAAAGTTAATCAAGGCTTTTGTTGTGATTCCCAGGCAGCAGATAAACCAGCAGCTACAATCAACCAGGTAACTGGAGCAACTAGCACAGACTTCCCGAAGGACTAAGAATTGTTTTCTTAAAAGAAACTGTATGCATTTAGACATAATAGAAACCCATAAAGAATACCCAAATGCAGTCTGAGAAGCAAATAACTAATAAAATATCTGTACTTGAGCAGACTCATACATAGAGTCACATAAGAAGACAGAATAGAACAGAGGGAATAGTGAAAAGTCGTAGAGAAAACATGTGTCACAACAGCCTCAAAGGACAGCCGAGGGAAGGAGTGGTGCACCGCTCCATGGGGTCACAGAGATGCCATCCTCATCACTTTCTGGTTTATGGGTATGTCCAGAAAAAAACAGTGCCTAAGTCTATCATTGTTACATCTTTTTGCATTTATGTCCATTGAATTATTGGATGACCTGCCGTTTTGATAAGAATACATAATGCCTCCTAACATAATCAGTTAAGTTAATTTTGACACAAAAATGATATAATTACTTTAAAACAAAAACTGCTATGTGTGTCATTCTGAATAACTTAACTGCACAATATCTTCAAGCCCCGCAAATGCAATAAATGCTTATTTTTTAAAAGTAGGATAATTAATTTATTTTTTAAAAAATATATTTTATCGATTATGCCATTACAGTTGTTCTATTCCCCCCTTCATTCCCCTCCACCCTGCACACCCCCACCGTTCCCCCCCCTTTAGTTTATGACCACGTGTCTCAAGTTCTTTAGATTCTATATTTCCCCTACTATTCTTGCCCTCCCCCCTATCTATTTTCTACCTACAGTCTATGCTACTTATTTTCTGTACCTTCTCCCCCCTTCTCCTTTTCCCACTCCCCTGTTGCTAACCCTCCATATGATCTTCATTTCTATGGTTCTGATCTAGCTGTTCTCTTAGTTTGCTTTTGTTTTAGGTGTGTTTCTTAATAACTGAGTTTGCTGTCTTTTCACTGTTCATCTTTTTTATCTTCTTTTTCTTAGGTAAGTCCCTTTAACATTTCATAAAATAAAGGCTTGGTGATGATGAACTCCCTGAATTTGATCTTATCTGATCAAAGCACTCAGATAAGATCAAATTCAAGGAGTTCATTTTAAAAGATGACAGTGTCTTACCTTTTAATGAATAAGCTTTCCCGAGTATAACGCTGGCACCTTAGAAAGTTCACTAAGATTATAGGCATAAACTAACAAACTATATGAAGAATCATCCAGAATACTGTGTACAAGTAAACACATGTCAGTTGATTCTAAACCTGGATTTCCCTGGCACATAATCTGAAAATTACTGACATAATTCTTGGGTAGAAAATATAATTTAATATGTGTGTGTGTATCTCCATCCAATGGAGCACTATAAGAATCTACTGTTTAATTATTTTTATTGATTAAATGTTTTTGAGAGAGAGAAACACCACTTTGGTGTTCCATTTATCTGTGCACTCACTGGTTGGTTCTTTATGTGCCCTGACTGGGGATGGGACCCACATCCATGGGGTATCAGGACAATGTTCTAACCTGAGCTACCCAATCAGGGCACAATTTTTTTCTTAATTTCAGTTTTAGAAATGTACATTACCCCAACTAAAATATGTTTTCATTAATAAATAGTAGAAAATAATCATTATTAACTGCCTATATTTGGAAAGGTAACAAAAATGGGAAAAATATTTCTATATCACATTCCACTTTACAAAACACTATAAAATATAATACACAATTTTAAAACACAGAGATTATAACCAATAATTGGGAACAACTTAAAAGAAATTCTCTATCAATTCA